CAGTTAAAAGCTGATATTGTGTATCAAATGGTTTTATAAAATGACAAACATAATGAGGACTTCCCAGAAGTTCAGTCTATTTTCAAATGATGAGCCAGCAAAATGCATGCCGCACTGACTCCAGGTGCCTTGCGATCCAAGCTTATAATTAAAGTAAATAATGAAGCTAAAGACTAATTCTTAATGAAATTGAAGAAATTGAGTATGCCTGGAAAAGTAACTGATTAAAATATCAAGTAAAACAGTGATCGATCAAGCTATTGATGAATCACTTGTTAGGAATCCTTGTCAAAGACGCAGAACCTCATCAGGTTTTGTCGAAAAGGCCCAGGCTCCATTGATTAAGCATTATTAAGGAACACATGCTCTTGTATTGACTGCCTATTAAATGCATATCAGGGTGTTTAGAGACTTCATTATTCTTCAGCCATTCCAGGAAGATGCTGTAACAATGTACATAATGCTCCCCTTTCCCTCACCGAACCCCTTGGGATGTGATCTAATAGATGAGAGTGTAGTGGAAATTATGAGGAACACTGTGTTTCAGTAGGAAGTAGGTGTTTAAAACCCTTCTATCTATTGCTGAGGCTTAAAGAGACAATCTGGAAATGCTGATCCCAGCAATTAGTGCAGTTTAATCACATGTGGGTGGAATCACATTAAACATTCACATTATGAGTGCTGATATTATGATGTACCACCAGCTGCCGATTGGAAATAAAAATGTGTCACACATGGTGCAAAAATGATCACGCTGGACCAACTTTCAAATTGGACATGACAGCTGCAATAAAATTTCTTAAAGGGGTCATATGATGCTGCTAAAAAGAACAGTATTTGGTGTATTTGGTGTAATGAAATGTGTTTATGCGGTTTAAGGTTCAAAAAACACATTATTTTCCACATACTGTACATTATTGTTTCTCCTCTATGCCCTGCCTTTCTGAAACGCGTCGATTTTTACAAAGCTCATCGGTCTGAAAAAGCGAGGTGTGCTGTGATTGGCCAGCTATCCAGTGCATTGTGATTGGCCGAATACCTCAAGCGTGAGACGGAAATGTTACGCCCATCACCATATTGTGATGATGCCCTGTCAGGCCGGAGCGATGATTCAAAAACATGAAAACCCATTATAAACGAGACATTCGTTGCATCCAGTGGGGACATAATTATGGATTATAATGACTCATACTGTCTTTTTACGCGTTGCGTTGCATCGCGCCGCGTAAACATAAAACCATGTCTGCATCGAAACAGCGTCACACACGGCGGCCTACAGTGAGCAGAGGCCGGGGGATAAAGTGAGGAACGGCCGGAGGGTTAGAGTGAGCAGAGGCGGGTGGGCGTGAGAACGGCGCGGCCGGCGATGTCGACGAAGGAGCATCCGGAAAGACATGTGACGACTCCGGGCTGGACTCCGCTTCGTCCACGGTGAAAGCCGATCCGGCGATCGACAGCGCAAAGTTGTAGTATTTCCTCAGCAACCAGCACGGATCAGCTCCAGGCATGACGAAGCAGATATCGTCCTCTTTTGGAAG